CCCAAGATCTGAAGACGATGGCTAGACTCTGACATGGCATCGTGTTGGACGTTAGGAAAGACTTACACATATTGATATTAAACCTTTTCCAACGAGGGCGAACACATCGCCCTCCTCTGGGTGTCACAACTGCATCAGCCAAAAAGGAAAGGCAGGAGGGAATTTAGAGCAGTTCCTTTTGCTTGTTTGATCCCTCCATTTGTTTACAATTTATGTTGAGATATTAATTTAAAATTTAGTGTCTTTAATTTATAGCTCTTAAGTAAGATGAAGGAAAATGTCTAACTTATACAGACAGCAGTATTGTTTGCATTAAATTATTCCATTTTGTATAAATTCTGTAGCTGGACTACATGAAAGATCTTAAGTTATGGCATTATTATCATTGTTATTTTATTTTATAATAGTTATTATCATTCTCATTTTCTGTCGATCAGAAGGTGTGGTTTACAGTGTAGCACAATGACTGTGTTTATTGCTAACCATGAATTATCACAAATTTTTATGATTTTTATGAAGGAATGAAAATGGAACTGCCACTTGGGAGCTCTCCAGTATTCATCTTAGGTGCATCCCCTCATTTTCTGTGTACAGCAACAATCATCTGAGGATGGTGTTCTGCCCTGCAGCCCAATGGATACATTGTGATTTTGACTTGATCATGAAACCTCCTGGGTGGGCAGATGACTGAGTGGATGGCTAAATAGTTCAAAGGCTGTAAACTTTCTCAAGTTTCTTAAGAAATAAAATCATGAGACTACAGTAGGAGCAAAAAGAGAATTATTTAATGCCCTGAGGCACAGACCCGGAGACTTTCTGCATGGGGCCCACGGGTTAGCAACCCAAGGACTGGTAGCCTAGCTTGTCCTTGCGTTCCTGCCAGATCCCACCAAGCCAACCTGTTTTCTCCTGGTTGGGAGTAGCAGGAAAACTGGGGGGAAAAAAGGAAAAAAAAATAAAAATATATATATATATATATATATGGCATGACATACAGTGCCTAGTTGTGATGTCATCTATAATACGACTAGAGAAATTCTACAAAGGCTCGGTCATTTAGAGGCTCGTAGGGCTGGAAAAGGACCACCTTGAAGAGCCCTCTTTTCCATCCTCTGACTTAGACCACACTATACTGTGAGTCTCTCTGGTTCACTCCTTCTGGGAAAAGAGAGGCTGCAACTCCGTGTCCTCTTTCTGTCCAACATAAAACACTGACACTTCAGTTAGTCCAGTTTCTGCCCACCTATGGTGGCACCTTTTAGTCACATCTTCCTAGAAGACGCCCACCTGATGCCCCAAACTTTCGATAAGTTTTCAGATTTCCCATCTTGACCATCTGTTATGACAATGCCATATACCTATCTGGATTGGCTATTGTGTGCATGTCCGGGTAGTATATAGCCTTGGATCTTCAGTCATTCACTGTATTGTCAAGAGTTTAATAAAGTTCCACATTAAACATTTTTATTTTTCAGTAGAAATGACTAGGGACTTCAGAAAAGAACAGTGTCTTTAGGTTAAAAAGAGAAATGTCTTTATCCCAGCCTTGCCCCTTACTGCCTGCCTGAGGTCCCCAGGAGAATTCTGAATTGGTGTGTTTCTTTGGGAACTCCTCTGTAAGAGCACTGAATCAAGAGCTCAGGGAACTGAGGAGCTAATTCCTCAGTCCTGACGACTGTGCATCAGTGCTTTGAAGAACCTCACAGGACTGTGATTCCAAGCTTCATTGCTGATTGAGAGTTTAACTCCCTTGGGATGAATGTCCACATTCATTTAGCATCTGTTTTTGACTGACTGCAAGATAACCAGTTTTAATTTGTATTGCAGGTGGGCATTTGTTTCTGATTTCCATCTATTTATAGATCATGTCTTCTGAATAAGGACGATTGCTCTTTAAATTGTTTAGCAGGGAAACTGAGAAGCCTGCACCCACTTTGAAATTATAATATACCTTAGAATTTAGACCGTTTGGAAGACCATGTGAGCGCCTAGTGGGGAGCACCTACCCAGAACAGTGAAGGTGCTAGCTCTGCTGTAAGGTGATCTGGTATGGCCTACTTGAAGTCAGATATTTTAAAACTTCAGTATCAACAAACCCATCCTTCAAGAATTAAGGATATTTTTAGTAGAATTCAATAAACACTGAACATCCATTTCAGGACCTCTTTGTGCTAAATTTCCGTCTTACCCTAAGTAATTAGATTTGATGGTTTTGTTTTTCCTGGTACCAACCCAATTTTAAATACCCTCTCACTGTGGAGCACTGACATCCTTTCAGAGTAAATGCACCCTTGATGATCAAATGATTTACTCTTTCCCCCCATCTCCTTATGTCTCATTGGTTTCCCCTTAAAGTGTCCCTACTTGAAGTTCCTGGAAGCGAAGTCTCCAAAATAGAACATTATACTTAGAACCCTGGGAACTCCGGCTCTGCTCTGCTCTGCAGTATAGTGTGTTGCTGGATTTTGTTCTGCCACTAAGCCAGAAGCCAAAATACTACCACATATCAGCACCTACAATCTACGCTCTCAACACCCAAGACCAAGGTTATTTACTGATCACTACATTCTTTCCTGCTGAGCCTGGACACAGCCTCAGCACCTCTCACAACACAGCACTGGGAGCGACCACTGCTCCGTTAGAAGTGGTGTGCGAGGGAGATGTTTGCCATCCCAGCTCTAAGCTCATGAACCACCACTCGGTTAGAAGTATTGTGCAAGGGGAGGGGTTTGCCATCCTAGCTCTAAGCTGTAATTAATTTCCTAACGGTAGTTTGAGATCTGGAGTTAGCCCTGATGGGAAAATGACAGGATCACACCAATGTTCTTATGAATCCCACCCTGTGGCTCTCAGGGGGCAGCACCCCTGGCAGGAAAAAGGCCACATGCTGCACCCCTGCCCTTCTGGACTACAGTTCCAATGGGATCATCTCCAATGACCGACAAATTGAATTCCAAAGTGTGTTTCTTCATTCACATCATTTCATTGTGCTAAATAAGCATGTTCCTCCCTCACCTTTTGTACACAAAGTTAATATGTTAAGTCCCCATGACCTTATTCTTCCTTTGACTCTGTGAGACTAATGTATCAAAACAATGTGACATTCTTTTTTAAGACCTTGACTTGTCAGTATGAATTTAGTGCCCTTCCAGGTAGCATTTTTCCTCTGCAGATTTCATGGAATAAATGTCCTAGTATATTCACACCACCAATGTTACCAACCTCACAGACCAGCACACATTAGTCTGCTTGTTTGCATGTTACAGCCAATAAGCAAGCACCTATTCAAATGGAATGAACTAGGCTGCCATGTAGAGGGCCCCGTGGCACTGGGAACACTTCTGGGGGTGTGTGTGGCAGAAGTGGGGAGCTCTAAAATCACTGCTCTGGGAAAGAGGGTTACCCCAAAGGAGTTAGGGCTTTGATTAAATGTCGCATGACCAGAGCATGATGGTAGGATTTCATAGAGCAGATGGCAAGGCCACCACAAGGAAACTTCTGGCAGAATCAGACCTCCTCTCTTAGAGCCACTTCAGGGCACCCAGGGGAATGCCGGCTCCTGGCTCCTGCCCAGGGACCATGCAGGCAGGGTCCTCCCACGCTTGCATGCTGGAGGGAACCCGTCAGAATGCACGCTATGAGGAAGACGTCCCTGTTGACCATGTCACCTGGGGAGCTCGTCACCTCCAGAGTGACCACTTCTCAAACTCTGGAATTGGGAAGACTCACTTTGATTCTCTAGTGCAATGATTCGAGTTCCCTATCAGTTTGGAGAAAATTAACTTTTTTGTGGCCAAGTCTCAAAATGGAACCCTTCCCGTCTCCCCTGTGGTCCCCGGGACTGTTAGTTCCCCTGCACAGTGTTGGTTTCTGATGCCGGTTCCCTTTGTACCGAACAACTGTACAGCAATGGGAACAAGAGTGACTATCAAAGCAAACAAATGCATGGAATTAAACAAAAAGCGTACTTCACTGTTTTATGGTCGTCTTTCTAACGCTTCTGGCTGTGTCCTGAGAGCTGCCTTCACGAATGTCAGCATTTGTCAGAACTTAGGGAAAGGAAGACTTCACAGGACTGGGTTTCTTGCAGCCGGGGAAAATAGGTGATGGGAAAGCTGGTTTCTGTGGCTCTTGCATTAGACACATCAGTTATTTTATTTTGTTAGAGTCTCTTCTTGATCATTGTCATAGCCTGGACAGGCCTCTGCTTCCTCCCGATGGCTTTCCCTGCCGCCCATCTTATAGCTACTAAGTGTTACTAGTGACCCCACTATAAAGTGAGCACAGAGAGGGAAAAGGTAAAAATTAAAATGTGGCTTCCAAAAAAAATAACAGTGGTAAAATGCCTGAGAGTGGAGAGCTAAACCACCTTTTTTTTTTTTTCAATCCTCACCCGAGGACATTTTTGCATTTATCTTCAGATAGAGCGGGAGGTAGAGAGAGAGAAACATCGATGTGAGAAAGACACATCGACTGGTTGCCACCCACACGACTCCAACCGGGGCCAGGAACAAACTGCGACCGAGGTACATGCCCTCAGCAGGAACCGAACCTGGGTCTCTCTGGTCCATGGGCCGATGCTCTAACCACTGAGTCAAACCGGCCAGGGCTAAACCACCATTTTTAATTGTCTGACTTTCAGCAGCTCCTGACTCCCACTTGCAAGGGGAACTGGAAGTTAGCAACATGTACAAACACATACCACACAGAACATTTATATACATTTATTTGGGAAATTGCTTTGCCTGTAAACTCACACTGATAAGGCACATTGTTGCAAGATCACAGGGGATGGGGGATAGAGAGCAATCTAGGGGTCCTGATAAAGGACAATGTGTGGAAAGCTTCCTTGTTTCTCGTCCCTCCCCCTAGTCCAGGAACAAAGAGCCATGGATTTCAAAGTCCAGTAGGGCTCCTCTTCAGCCCCACCCTTACCAAGCTTCTTTTAAAGCAACACCTTTAAAAATTAAGTTCTTGTGGGGTTTTTTGTTTTGTTTTGTTTTGTTTTGTTTTATCATATGAGTCCAAAAAACAATGCTTGGGAATTCATTCTCAAGAATGAATATTCTCAAGAACTCATGTAGAACATTCTGCCTAGATTAAAGCCTTGGCAAGATTCTTGGCCAAGCCAAATAAAAAACCCAGCAGATCCTGCCACAGGGCAACAGTTCTGGTGAGAAATGATGAGTTACTCTTGTCGGATACAGGACCCCAGAGCTGGTCCGTTTAGGTGCCGAGGGCCTTCTGTCCTTGGAAGCATTAACCCGGGTCTGTGCCAATCCAATGCTGCTGCTATAGGAAGCAACAGCAGCCACAGACAACAAACAGAACACAACCAAGTAACCCAAAACCAAGTTCTCTTAGAATTAAAAGGTAAAATATAATTATTCCTGTTATTCTCGGCAAATGACAAATTGGAAAAACATCCAGAGGGTACAATGGCTAATGTCCGAGAGTAGTGGATTCATTCTCCTGGCAGGAGGAAGAGGGATTTCCACACAGAGGGGACAGATGAGAAAATGCGCTGATGGTCATTTGGTTCAGGTGTCAAGGGCCCTGCACTATCCAGATGGATAAGAATTTCTCCAGGACATAACATATGGAGTTTGCTCATTCATATTTAATAGTCCGTTTGCAATCAGCTTAGCTGTCAGGCCACACAACCAAGAGGAAATGTGTCATATATGGTAACATCAGTGGGTCTGAACATAGAGAGCATCGCAGAAACCACTGTGCACTTGAGCTATACATAGACGATCTAAGCAGTTTGTCAGCTTCTTCCTCTTGGTGTATGGAAGAGGTAGGTCATCCACCAAAAAGTACAGAAGAAACACTCTTTGACTAACAAGATGAAGAGTGATGTCAGTGATGTGGGTTCACATGTCATCATTTACACTGAGAACAAACACCAGTCACAACAGCCTATCACTTTGCAGACGAGGCACTCTGGACAAGGACAGCCGGCATCCTCTCCCGAGGCAGCTCCGGGCTTGGCAAGAGGCACATACAGCAGACTATCCCGAGTTCCTTGTTATTCAATAAAATATAAAAAGGGTTTTCTAAGAAGCTATCCATTTCACAGAGTGTCCTACTAACTCATGGCAAGTTTGAGAACCTGATATAATTCCCCTTCTAGAGCACAGTCCAAACTACCTGTTGAGAGTGATTAAAAAACAATGAAGGGCTGTAAGGGACCATACCCATTACACACGAGCAATAGAGTCCAGGGACATGCAACCCAAAAATCCAGATCACATGTCCTTTCTGCTGTTTAGATGGTTGGCACTGCTTGTTTCATTCAAATGCAGGTCTTTTTGACTAAATTTTTTTATGAGGGTTCCAGGAACTAAGGCCACCAGAGCGATGGCCAACAGCTTAAGGACAGTTTCCCAGGAGAAAAGCGCATCCAGAGAGGTAAGGGTCGACAGGATGGAGCCTGTCTGCACACAGATGAAGTTGTAGGGGATCAAACCTGGAAGAAGACGAGGGAAAGAGCCCATTACTGAGGGGCGCAGGAAAGAACAGGTGTGGTTTCCCCCCAGCTCCTAACCCCTAACCATACTACCTCTTTCCCTTCTTTTCTACTTTTCCCCTCCTTTCTTCACTTCCCACACACACCTGCCTTGTTTAACAAAAGGACTTGAGATGGTGTACAAAAATACACATACTACAATAATATTTAAAAGATTTTAACAGGAAAAACAAAATGAGTGCAGAAGAAAATAAGGTAGTAGAATTAGGACAAAAATGCGTAAGGTTCACCCACTTGCTGGAGGTGGGCCCCAAAGTTGGCTCTGAGCAGCCAAGAGCCAAGTAAGGAGAAGCACCAGCATTAGATTTAGTGTGCATAACATGAAAACCCACAGTTTCTTAGAAGTACTTCTTTTCATGTTCTCTTCTATTTCTAAGCAGTCATCAAATTCACTGGACCCCAAAAGTCTGAATGGAAGCTATCAGGCTGGTGACATTGATACAAACAAATCCCGGGCTCCACCCGAGATTCTGGTTACCTGGGTCTAGTGGAGCAGCGGGAACCTGCATTCAAACGCCTCTCCCCTCCCTGCTCTGATTGGTTTGGGCCCCCTGAGAATCCACCCCTCTTCTATAGAGGACACCACAAGATCACAGACCACTCAAGGTCGCTGCACAGCTTGCCAAGGGTAGGGAGCGGGGGACTGCAACTCTGGTCTCCACAGTCTTTCCAAGCTGTGCCACAAAGGCTTTCACAGGCTGCTCACTGAGGCATTAAGACACTCTGTCTGAAAGCCGATACGACCAGAATTAACTGTGGCAGATTTTGCTGTAAGATCTCAATTTCTCTCAAGAATCCACTATTAATAGCAGCTGCTCAACCACAGATTTGTTATGTGTGACCTAGAAGCCCCAAGTATTCTTTCCCTCCACGCTCTAAAGAAGACTTAAGAGAGGCAATCCTTGCCTTAGGCTTAGAGAATGGTTTACTTCCGGTGTGGAGAAAAATATAGTCACTGACTGAACAGGATGTTAGCACTTTACCGTTCTGATAAAGGTGGTCCAAGGCCCACACTTTGAGAAACACTGCTCTAGCCCCTCACCTGGCCAAGGGGCCCACTGAGGGTAAGTAGCTTCTGAAGGTCACACAACTGTCAAAAGGCAAGAAGGAACTTCAGTGGTCCCAGCTCTTCCTAAGGCAGATCTTAATTAAAACAGGGGCCAAAGCCAGACCGGAAGTCCTTTGCTTTATTCCTTTCTTCTGTCTCTGCTGTTTCTTTTGCCCACATACCCTCATTCCAAGCCTGCTTTTCCAGCTGGTATTTACTGAGCACCTAGCATGGGCCAAGGCATGTGCTTTACAGATTACTCCTCTCATCCCAATGCCTCGCACAGTGCTTGGCCCATGAGAGACATCAAATGTAGTTGTAGAATGAACATTCCTACTTTTTCTAGAAGTATTTTTATGAGGTTTCTTGTTCAAGCCTGAGTAGACTTGAGATCGGGATTTTAGCTAAGACTAGAAGATGCTCCTCACGAGCCTGTGCTTTGAGAGGCAGGCACGTGGCCATGTGGCTAACCCAGGGCAGTCCCCAGCATGACAACGGAAGACTCACTTACTCCATCAGCTTCTTACCGATAAGAACAGAGAAGAAGAACTGCCCAAGGGGGATGTTCAGAATCGGGGCCGAGAGGTTCAAGAACCAGTTCGGTGTCATGGGGAAAAGTCTCAAAAACAGTAAGAAAAAGAACAAGCTGTTTCTGTTCTCCTCCACCTGTAGCCAAAGAAGACACAAGGCCATTAGGAAGCAGAAAGTCTCCAGGTATTGAAAATTTGCTGGTGCCAGGCACTGTTCTAGATATTTTACAAATTCTGTCCCAGATGTCCCAACAACCCTCCAGGGTAGAGACTGTTTCCCATTTTACAATAGAGGCACCTGAGGCTCAGAGAAGTCGGGAACCTGACTCAAGTCACAGAGTTGGTAATGATGGAGCTGGGGTTTGATCCCAAGTCCGTGCCTCTTGGAGACACAGGGTGGAAGAGCACTGTGGGAAGTCCCTGCCCCTCACCCCCCTCAGTTCCCGAGGTGACTCTAACAGAAGCCCAACACTCAGATGTACCCCTTCCCCTTACCTTCCTCTGCAGGAGGGCCACTTTATCAGGAAAGTAGGAGATCACCAGTTGTTTGCCAAACATACTGGAAAGCAGGTAGCAGCATGTGGCACCCACCGAGGTCAACACACAGCAGAGCAGAAGCCCCAGCCATGGCCCAAACAAAGCACCAGCTAAAACGTTCTGCAAAGAAAACAAACCCTCAGCCATGAGCACATCTGGCAGCTACCAGTCACCTCATCCTGGAGGTCAAGAGTCACAGGTTCCCTCCACCCTCCCGGCCAAAACCCAATTCCCATCTTAAAGATGTAAATGAAAAGTGATGAAAGCCCGGCCGCGTGGCTGTCGGTTGAGCGCTGTCCCATGCACCAAGTGCCCAGTTCAATTCCCGGTCAGGGCATTTGCCCAGTTGAGGGCTCCATCCCCAGTAGGGGGTGTGCAGGGGGCAACCAATCAATGCTTCTTTCTCAACAATGTTTCTATTTCTCCCTTCCTCTCTCTCTAAAAAACCTATTAAAAAAAGAAAGAAAAGTGATGAAAGAGCTGAGAACTACAACCCTGGTTTTGTTCTCTTCACCTTTAAAACAAAGATGAGGATTAAAACCTCGGAGAGAATCATTTGAGAAAATGGGAGTAGACTGCACTCAGCCTCCCACGTGGGCCGTGGTATGTCCTGCAAACATGGGTGATCCAAGAAGGCAGAGATGAAACCCACAAATAATTTTTACCATTTTAAACAAACACAAACTATGAATTTTCCCACAGTAAGACCACACCAGCTATATAAAATGTCTTATTTCTTTGCTTTCTGTTGGAATTACATCTGTGTGGTATGCTAATGCTGGGGGTTCATGTTGACCAGAGATCTAGATGACACTCAAAAAAGTCTTAGGTTAATAAAAATGAAAAAGCAAGCCAATACTTCCTAACTGCAATTTGGCTGATTAACATCATCCTGTCAAACCTGGGTTTCCAAGACAGAAAGTAAAAGGAGAACTTGGAAGTGAGTGATAAGTGCTTGACTACACGTCTGATTTAATCCTCACCATGACCCTGTGTCATGTACTATCGTTACCCTACTCTACAGGGTGAGAGACTAAGTATCTTGCCCAAGATCACACTAGGCAGAGACGAGATTCACCACCAGCTGGCGGCTGGCTCTTTGCCCTAACGAGGGATCGGCTCAGTGGGAAGGCAGGTACCCAAGGAGTCAGCCCCTGACCTCAAACATCACACACTTCCCATCTCTCCTTGGCATGGACAATTTGCTTTTCTTCCAGTTTCCAACACACTGCTTATGCAGATCCAGCCTAAACCTGCAGTAGAGAAAACATGCTGGGGCAGGAAAGAGAAGCAGGATCTCCTGCTCCATCACACAATCATTCAACAAGTGCTTGAGGGCCACTGTGTGCCAGGCACCATCACCATGCCAGCCACTCTATACCCACTGTCTCAGTTAATCCTCCCATGCAACAACCCTAGGGGGCAATGTAGGAGTATCCTGTTTTATATACAAGGAAACAGGTTTGGGGAAGTTAAATGGTTTGCCCACGGTTACACAGCTGGGATTCAAATCCACCCATGCCAGTTTAAAATGCTTCTGGGAGGGGAGCACAGATTATTCTGTATAACCTGAGGTGGCAACTGACGGGTAGCATCCTCACAGACTAATGGAGGAAACAGATTGGGGGGCGGGGAGGGCTTGATCAGAAGGACTTAGGTCCCTCAAACAACAGATTTTAAAAAAAATCAAACAGTGCCAAAATGCAGAACATCATAGGAGCTGTGCGGAGGAAGAGTTGACCCAGCCCAGGGTACATGTGTGTGTCTCAAGGACAGTGCTCTGTGGCTCTCAATGCCTTAGAAACAAAAGCAGCATACCTGAGAGGAAAAGCAGATTGTGGGACAGGGTGGAAGTAGGTGTAGACCCCAGCCCTACCCCTTCCTCGCCTGTATCCTTGGACAGTTACCAAACCTCTCCCCACATATAAGGCTGTTGGGAGCATTAATAAGGTCATGCAGGTTAAACAACTAGGACAGTGCCTGCCACAGGAGAAGCTGTCAAAAAATGGTAGTCACAGTAGTCTGTCCTCTGGACTGGGTGATTTGCAGCGTAAGGACCCCTCTACAAAGACAGAAGAAGGTGGCTTTCTGATAGGCACAGAAGGCTGGCGGGGCACTGACCAGGAAGCTGGAGCCAGGGATGGCAAAGCCCTGTTTGTAGAGGTAGGCACTGCAGAAGAGCAGCAACACGTAGGCCTGGTGCTCCCTGCGGTAGTCTCGAAGGACCTCGGAGAGCTCCCGCAACTCGGCCAGGTCAGAGGGGAACCACAGTGACCTGGGGATTTGGAAAAGCAGATGGCAACATGAGTCCAGATCAACCTAGTACCTATGAAAATTACTCGTGGTGTTATCTTTCCAATGTAGGTTTATAAATGTGCTCATCACCTGGTCTACTGGGGATACACACAAAATGGGAGCCTGATACAACACAGCAGAGCAGACGAAGAACCCTGGTTTGAGCAAGAGACCTGGCTTAGCATCTGAACTCTGCTACTATCCAGCTGTGTGATCGGGGGCTAGTCCCTGGGCCTCAGTTTCCTTATCTGAAAAATGAGGCTTGGTGTTAGATAATCACTAAGTTCCCTTTCAGCTCTCAGGTTTTATGATCTATTCTTATGAAGCAAATGGATTAATTTCCAGGCAAATACTAAATTGGCTTCCTTTCAGGGAGCACCCCCATGCCTCACAAGAGACCAAGGACAATTCAAACTTCACACTGCTCCTGCGTTACTAGGTAAAACAACTGTTTTATCAGACAGTAACATGCCAATTAAAGGTTCTCTGGGAAAGTATATTTGTCCTGCACCATAAACATAACCTTCTTGATAAAATGTCTGTCTTGAAACCAACCCTTTCAAAGAGCCTGCTTTTTCACTCTGCTCTTTATCTGGTCCTCAATGCACTCTGATTCCTGAACAAGGGTTGCAGTGTAAAGTCTCCTTTACCACTGCCATCTATCTATCTGAACAACCCTTGAATGCACCAATGATCAATTACGAGCAAACCACCCCAGTTCTTTTCAAAATGTTCTCTTAGCGTATCTGACACTCACAGCAAAGCCTTCTCAGCTACAGCAAAAGAATACAGTAACTGAAAACAATTGTCCTAATATTCATGTATCAGTAATATCCTTGACTCAGTGCTGCGCCAGGCATACTCCCACGAACTTGACAAACAGCAGCACTCAGGACAAACCAGCCGGGTCGGTATCACACCGCCTCCCGCCTCACCCAGTGGCAATGAGAAAGGGAACAGTAGCGACAGCCAGGAAGAGGAGCGGACCCTGTAATTAATTCTTGGATAATTTAAAGTAGTCCATGCAACGTTTCACCTGAAGACCGAATCGGTAGACCTAAGTGAGGTGGGGTGGAGAGGACGATGGAGGGAGGCTAAAAGCAGTCGTGAAATAGGACTGCGGGTCCAGACAGGAGCGAGGTCGGCTGCAAATGGGGGTTGGGGCTGAGCCGGGAAGCGGGGGAGCGCGAGCAGGGCGCGGGGCAGTCAGAGGCTCGGCCGCGGGCCCGGACCGCACACCCGCGCCGGCTGCACGCAGGTCCCAGCCAGGGCCGGCCCGGCTCCCATCACCCACCTGCCCGGGACGTGTAGACGCGGCCCGGATACCAGACCCCCACCCCCTGTCCTAGAACCCCAAATCCCCGTCGCCCCCGATCCGGGAACCGAATCTCCGACTCCCGGACCCCATCCTCGAAGGTGTCTCCGAACCCCGGCCCCGCCACGCACCTGCCTTCAGCCTCCTCGGCGGAGCCCCGTGTCGGCCCGCGAGGCAGTCGCGTCGACAGCAAGTACAAGGCGAAGGTGCAGCCGACGAAGATCAGGAGCAGGCCGAGCAGGGGGCGCATGTCGGCGCCCGCACCCGGACCCGCCGGGCCGCGGAGGAGCCTGGAGCCCGCGCCGAGCAGCCCTCTGCGCGCGGACGGAGCCCGGGGAACGCGTTCGCCGACGGACAGAGGCGGGGCCCGCGCCGAGCCCCGCCCCCACCCCGCCCCGGCCCGGCCCGGACTCCGCCCTCCTGGCCCTGGGCCCAGATTCCAGCGGAAACCTGTCGTCTAGGCCCTTTCAGCGCGTTTATCCTTCTTTCGCCTTTTTTTTTTCTTAACGTTTATCTCTGTCTCTTTCTTCATTTATTTGAGGGCTCTCTGCCAGGTGCTGGGAGATCCAGAGGTAAATCACAGTCTTGCCCACAGCGAGCTTGCAGTCTGGTAGTGGTCAAGACAGTCCTGGCCACAACCAGCGGTAACGCACAAATGCAGCCCCGGTAGAGACATGGGCCCCGGTTGTGTGCGGGAGACTGTCACAGTGATCACGGAAATTATCAGAATTACCTTGTCTTGAGGCCTACTCTAATTCTCACAACAAGGTTGACTTTATTTAACAGACGAAAACTCTGAATCTCAGGATTGACAGCCCCCCAAAGAAAGTCAGGATTAGAATCCAAGTCATTCTGGGTCCTCAGCTAGTTGCTCTACACTGCGTGGAGGTGGGGCTTGAAGTTACCTTAAAAGTGAAGGCCGGTCTGGCTCAGCGGTTAGAGCGTTGGCCTGTGGTCCAGAGAGACCTGGGTTCAGTCCCGCTAAGGGCATGTACCTCGGTTGCAGTTTGTCCTGGGCCCTGGTTGAGGCGTGTAGGTGGCAGCCACTCGATGTGCCCCTTTCACGTCGATGTTTCTCCTTTTCTCTCCCTCCCACTCCATCTGAATAAAAAATGGAAAAATATCCTCCGATGAGGATTTAAAAAAAAAAAATGTTGAGCAAGATTTCCATATCAGAGAAAGAAGGGAGAGAGAGAGGTGGGGGCCCAAGTAAGGCACCAGAGTCCAGATTTAGTGAAGTCTAAGCTGTATGAAAAATGAGTGAGAAGTTAGGGACAAATTAGAAAGCACTGAAAGGCAGGCAGACTAAGAAATTGGATTTTTAGTCCAACCAGTGTGGCTCAGTGGCTGAACATCGACCCATGCACCAAGAGGTCGCCGGTTCAATTTCAGGTCAGGACACATGCCCAAGTTGTGGGCCCAATCCCCAGTGGGGGACGTGCAGGAGGTGGTCAATCAATGTCCTCTCTCATCAATGTTTCTATATCTCTCTCCTTCTCGCTTCCTCTCTCTCTAAAATCAATAAAGAAAAAAATAAATTAAAAAAAAAAGAAATTGGATTTTTAAATATTGTATATGGTGAAACATCAGCAGAAGTGGTTAAGCAAGAGAATGATTTAGTTCCTGTTTTAGGGTTAGAATCCATTCTGAGTTGATAGTTGCAACTCTCCTGATGATAAAGGATGCAGGCCTGAGCCAGGACCACAGCAGTGGGAATGAAGAGAGGAAGAGGGGCAAGCTGGGAGAAGTTGAGTTGGTAGGACATATGACTCATTAAATGGAGAAGGGACACAGAGGACTCAAGAATAGTATAAGCCTTTATCATAACATTCAAAGCACCTCTTGGGCTAAATAGGGAGCATCTGTCAAAATTCAAAAGGTACAACATCCTAGCAATTCCACATCCTGAAATTTAACCTATAGCTATGCCCTTAGATAGACAAAGAGGTATATTCAAAGGTATTCTCTTGGCTTTGCTTTGATGTTAAGAGATTGGGAACAACCTGAATGCTCCTCACATGGGGACTAGTGAGGTCAATTATGGTATAGTCACAAATGCAACACTAGGTAGCTTCCTGAAAGAGGGAGGCAACTCTATATATCTTGACACAGTTCAGTAGCCAGATAGAGAAGTTGCAGTGTTAGAGTATGACTCATCTGTGAGAAGAAAATAAAAGCATACACTTTATGTTTTCAAAATACTAACGCGTTTATGAATGAAATTATTTAACATCTGAGATTTGCATCTAAATAATGGGATAGGCCTTTCTTTCGGCTACAACCACCATCTTGCAATAGTTCGCCAAAATGACCAACACAGAAGGAAAGAGGAGAGACACCTCGCTATGCACTGTACGTTCTTAGAAAACATGGAGTTGTTTCTTGGCCACACACGTGTGAATCTACAAGAAAGGTGATATTGTAGACATCAAGGGAATGGGCACTGTTCCAAAAAGAATGCGCCACAAATGTTCTCTTGGCAAAACTGGACAAGTCTACAGTGTTACCCAGCATGTGGTGGACATTGTTGTAAACAAACAAGTTATGGGCAAGATTCCTGCCAAGAGAATTAATGTACATATTGAGCAGATTAAGCACTCTAACAGCCATTATAGTTTCCTGAAATGTGTGAAGGAAACTGATCAGAAAAAGAAGGAAGCCAAGGAGAAAGTTACTTGGGTTCACCTGAATCAGCCTGCTCCACCCAGAGAAGCTCACTTTGTGAGAACCAGTGGAAAGCAGCCTGAGCTGCTGGAACCCATTCCCTATGAATTCATGGCCTGATAAGTGTAAAAAAAATAAAGGACTGCCCAGGCGGTGTGGCTCAGTGGATTGAGCATCGTCTCATGGACTGAGAGGTCCCTCTTCGATTTCGGTCAGGGCACATGCCCGGGTTGCTGGCTTGATACTCAGTAGGGGGTGTGCAGGAGGCAGCCAATCGATGTTTCTCTCACATAGATGTTTCTGTCTCTCTCTTCCTTCTCTCTCTAAAAGATCAGTAAAACATAAATAAATAAAATAAAAATAGAAAACCTCTGTACTGTTTTTAAAAAATATTTCTCTTAATTGAGTAGAAGTGTGATATCCCCTCCCTAAAAGAAATATTTAAAGAAAATTTTGTGTCCTAAAAAAAAAAAAAGGGATGGAGTTCAATGGGTAGGGATATAAATAAACAAGATTGTCCACTGAATTGATAATTGAAGCTGAATGATGGCAAATGGAGGTGGATTTTATACCATTTTCTCTATGTGTATATGTTTGAAATTTTGCATTTTAAAAAATGGGGGTAAATTTTCTCCCCTTAAGCCCCCCATTCCTGCTGAACATGCACTATGTTAGTTCATGTCTCTGACGATACTATTCCTTCCATCTGGCAGTCCTCTCTGCCTGGAAAATTCCTACTCTTCCATCAACAACCAAGGCAATTGTCATTTCCACTGAGAAGCCTCCTCCAGTTCCCACCGTCCGAAAAAAAAAGTGTTACTTCTCTATGCTTGGGGCTCCTTCTCTGTGAAGTGTCTCTATTTCTATTATTGCAAATACTGTGATCCAGTGCCCTATCCATCTCTCCGTAGACAGTAAACATTTCCACAAATGAGCCCTGGCCAGTTTGGCTCAGCAGTTAGAGCGTCGGCCTACAATCCAGAGAGACCCGGGTTTGGTTCCCGCTAAGGGCATGTACCTTGGTTGCAATTTGTCCCCGGCCCTGGTTGGGTCGTGCAGGAGGCAGCCACTCAATGTGTCCCTTTCACGTCGATGTTTCTCTCTCTCTCTGTCTCTTCCTCTCTCTCCCTCCCACTCTATCTGAACAAATAATAGAAAATTGTCCTCGGGTGAGGATTAAAAACAAAAACAAAAACATTTCCACAAATGAGACACTTTCTCATCTTTCATCTGTTCTGACCCATAGCCCTGTGCTTGCTTAGAATTGGCACTTAATAAATATTCGTTAAATTAATAGGTCAGGTCTAGCAAGGAAATGACTAGTTTGGTACATGTTGACTTTCAGAAGTCTAAGGAATATAGGAGGAGAGAAAGTGAATGAGAAACTAGTGTTATGGAGCTTGTGTGCACCGTGTGCTGCGGCCGCGAGCAGAGTAGTGAACAAGAAGGCAGGGATCCTACTCTTAAGGACTTTACTGTCCCTTGGTTGGGAGAGAGCATGGAGAAAGATAGAATTGTAGAACATGGTAGGTGCCATGGAGGAAACAGACACGGCAAAGCATGTTCTACCCCAGAGAAGCAAGTGTCGCTATCCCACTTAGGAATGAGTAGATGAGCAGGTGTTCAGATGAAGTCACTTTGCGAAGTCCACAGCTGCGAGTGCTGAGCAGGACTTCAGCCTTGTCTGCCCCTCCAGAGTCCCTGCACTTGTCTCTGCCCTGTACTGCCTCTCTACAAGCAGGTGACAATTCAGAGCTCAGACTGAACCTTCAGATTTCAATGTCATCTGTCTGCTGAAGTGAGGGAAGGGGAGAAGCAATGGCAGCTGACATTCACTGAGTACTTACTACATCGAAGACTGCACAGTAAGCATTTTACATGCAAGGATGTATTTATTCCATATGACAACCCTCATGAATCAGGGACTCTTAACAGCTCCACTTTCCAGTCCGAGCAATGGAAGCTTAGGAAGAGTTAAGTCGATAGAGGGCAACACCAGCCAACACAGAGTCTGGTCTCCTACCCTCCAGTACCTTTGTGAGAGAAAACTGAGGTCAAAAGCCAGGTTAGGAAATAATGGAGCCAGTGAAAGAGAACCAAGTGGTTCATTCAGGGATGTTGGATGAAAAATGGAGGTGGGGAGGAAAGGTGTCCAGAAAGCCCAAGAAAGATTGTTAGAAAAGAAGTCCATAGGTACTCAGTGTCAGAGCCCATAGAAAACTCCAGCAAGGAGACCTGAAGGTTGTGGGATTCAGCCAACACGAGGTGGGAAATGCAACCCCAACTCCCTACAGGCTCACTCCCAAGCCTTTGCGTGCTGCCTCTGAGTTAGCCACCACCCCCACCCTGAACACTCCTGTTCTGATTCCTCCTACTCGACTTGTCTGCTTGAGGAAGCTCTGGACTGTGTTCCCCACTCCCAACCCACCTCCACTCTGATCTCAGTCTCCACATTTCTCCTGGTGCCAATCCAACACCTGTAGAGCCCACTCTAACCAGCCAGTGCACCACCTGCAGGCTGCACCCACCTCCATCAAGGCCATTCATTTATAGGACATGCCCAGGCAGCCTGACAAAGGACAGCTGCAGCCCCGCCCAGGGACATGTCTGGACTGGCTTCATTTCTCCTGACCACTGTTATATCAAACTCACTGAAACTCATCTCCACTCCAGTGAACAAACTTCCTTCCTTCCTTGACTCATTTACCCATTCATCCATCCATCCAACTGGTCCACAGTGAGCAAGGTACCAAGCTAGGGGGCACCAAGAGAAGAAGATGAGGGACACCACTGGTCCAAGGAGTTTATAAATGACAGAAATGCTATTCCTGGCACTTTCTTGCTATTGTTTTGACCCACTGCCTACCAGGCAAGGGAAGGAAGATGAAGAAGTGACTGTGCTCATCAGAATGCAGAGCAAATGAAACTAAAGAAAATCAGGTTCTAGAGCATACTGATCTCTCCATCCACAATGGCTGAGGGAACGTGGGAAGGAGGAGGAAGGGTGATAAAACGTCCAAGTGGGCAGGACCGTCGCTGAGACTTACTTCTTTCAGAGTTCAGTCATTCACCACAGGCATTTCTCACTTAAGTGAAAATCTCGGTATTACATATATTAAAATGCGCCACACAGGAATATATTTAGAGTTCTATAATTTATGAAATAGAGTCCATTTCTTTACAACAAGGGCTGTTCTCACAGAAAGAAGTAGAAGGAAAATCACCTGTGTGAGGAAGCCACCAAGCCTGTGACACTCAGGAATCACAGGAAGCTTCCCGCAGTGGCCACAGCTGTGGGAAGCATGGTGCTCACCCCTTTGGCTCTGTCCCCGCACTGGGCATCTGGCCCCACAGATGGTTCTCCTTTGGTTCCAGCCTCGCTGGCCTTGGCCCTCTGGGCCTCCTGGCTTGGCTGCTGTAGTGGATCCAGATTCATGATTTACACAATAGTTCTTAGCAAGCCTAAGAATTTCTCAAACTGGAGGCTTCCAGTGCTCCGAGAGCAAACTGGTTTGTGCTTTGAAATTACATGTTAGCAACACACGTTATTTAGCATTATTCCCAAAGGCACACATTAATTACCTCTAATGGGATTATGCATAGCATATATTCGTTTTGCATCTGTGCATTTTCTAAATTTCCCTCAATAATAATGGATTACATTAGCAATAAGGAAAAATAAAAATTTTCCCACTTTAGAGAAGGTGGGAAGCCAGGGGTGTGATTTTCTTGCCTTCCCAAAGTTAACAGCCCAAGAGAGAAGTTGGCGTTGATAAAAAATAGCTCTCTTATTGCATATTAGATAAGCCGTATTAAAATAAATAAAAGCATATTCACATTTATCAAATCACTCATGAATGTGGCAACCATGGGATTTCAAAGAACCCTTCACAGACTTGCCTCCAAGACCCACACAACAGCCCTGTGAGGTAGGTCAGTCTCCATTCCCTTCTACATGCAGGCACCTGGAGGAATTTGGCACAGGGAACGTGGAGTCGAGTCCAAAGTGAGGTCTCCAGCCAGTCCTTCCCTTTAAGATGCTCGTCCTGCTGAACTGCCTGCGTGATCAGCAGCAGAATCACAGAGCGGAACAGACGAGCCCCAGGACACAGCCAGACCAGGCGCTGGGCGGCCTGGGGCCTGACTATTTCAGACTTGCCCTAGTTAGGGACTCCTTTCCCAGGACTGTTCTATAATCCAAAGTCATTTGACATTTTGCAATGTGCCATCTATAGGACACTATTGGAAAAACCCTGGTTATTCTGTACTTTTTGTGCCTCGAGGAAAAGGTCAGGAAGGTGAAGCTTTAAAACAGCCTGTCATAGCTTTCTTGATGTTACTGGTGCTCATGTGTCTTGACAACAGTTACATTTGCAACTTCGGGCAAAGAATAGGTTGGAAGACTGTTTCAGTATTTTCCATCAGTATAAGATCATACCGACACAACTGGGGCCTGTAAAAATAAGAAAATATTCTTGTCAGTAAAATACTAAAAACACCCTATTCTAATAAAATAACTTGCATTATATCCTTAGGATATAAAATGATTTAGCAATTATGGCTTTTTGTTGTTGTTGTTTTATCCTCACCCGAGGACATTGTTTTTGCATTCATCTTCAGATAGAGTGGGAGGGAGAGAGGGAGGAAGACTAAGAGAGAAACATTGATGTAAGAGAGACACATCGACTGGTTGCCACCCACATGACCCCAATCAGGGTCAGGGACAAACTGCAACCAAGGTAGGTGCCCTTAGAGGGAACCAAACCTGGGTCTCTCTGGTCTGCAGGCCGACGCTCTAACCGCTGAGCCAAACTGGCCAGGGCATTTAGCAATTATGTTTAATGTTATAGGAAAATGCTTATAGTAAATAGGCAGGATGTCAAATTTTATTTGACACATAACTTCAACTAGGTTTAAAAACAGTAACAGAAAGCAGATTAGAAAAAAATAACCAAAAATATTAATAGTGGTTGCCTCTGAATAATGACATTATAGGTGATGTTTCTCTACTTCCTAACACTGTCTACACTTTCAAAAAATTTTAAATGAACATGTATTACTTTGGTAATCAGAGAAAAGAGTATTAAAAAGCCCCACAGTTTTAGGATGTAATGACTCTC